TAGGGTTTGGCTTTAGTACGGAGACAAGAGTCTTCTAAGTCATAAGTGCGCACTAGATAGTACCTTGTGGGTCGTAATTACCCAGAATAACTTATGCATGTGCGCACTAGGTAGTGCCTTGTGGGTCGTAATTACCCGGAATAACTTATGCATGTGCGCACTAGGTAGTGCCTTGTGGGTCGTAATTACCCGGAAACACTTGCTTGGTCTAGTGACCACATGTCCTAGTCTTTTTACTTTGATTTCGCATTCAATTTCAAGTTGTTAATCATGGATTACTTGTAACTTGAGAATTAATGCTTGCTTTGGATATTTGAATCTTACTTAGTATACTTGAAACTGTATACTTGTTTTGTGCATTTAGATCTCATATAGTATACTTGAACTTGTATGCTTGCTCTGTGAGTTTAAATTTCATTTAGTATGCTTGTGCCATGTATACTTGTTTTAGGCGTATCTCTCTTAGCTTAGTGTACTTATGTCTGTATACTTGATTTACGAGATTTTCATATAAAATGCATACTTGTGTAAATATGCTTAGACATTGTATGACTTATCTTAATGTGGTTTAGTATACTTGGAAATGTATGCTTGTATGTTGTGTAACATGTCTAACATTGTTTAGTATACTTAAGCATGTATACTTATATGCCGTTGTTCACTTTAAATTGCATGAGTAGCTTAGGATGATCCCTGAGTCTCACTTGACATAGACGTTATGTGGCATAAGCCCCTTTGATATGTTTCACCTTAAGGTGATATAATTGTAAAACGCTAGGTCGATGCATGCTCATCTCCTACGAGTAGCTTTATGTTATTTACCCACGTAGTGGAGACATTTTTCAGGTACCAGGATCAAGATTCGGGATTCACATCATGCTTGGATGATTTGTAGACTTGAAGTTCTCATTTCTTGTAAATGTTGGCTTGAAATGCCATTTATAGCTTTATATGTCAAAATGTGTAAATTTGATTCTATTTTTGTAATGTGTACATAAGTACACTTTTTACAATGTATTTGACATGTATGAGATGAGGCCATAGGCTAATGACATCAAATTTGTATCCTATGTAACTTTTAACTTTATGAAATATTATGAAAATATTGAAAAATGCCGAGTCATTGCTTCACTATGCTTGCATTGGGTGTGGGAATTCCATTTTTATTATTTCATAGGATCTCATTAATCATGTATAAAGTGTGGCCAAGGGCCAAACGGTAATTTGAAATCATTTGTTTTTTGGTTTTCAAATTTCACTTTTCTTGTTCATCTTTGCCTTTTTGCCCGTTGGGGGGTCGGATTTTGCATCGGTGGTATTTTTAAGCCATGGACCATTGTAGCACGTCCTAATAGGTAAGTTACGTTTGCGTGCATAATCGTTTTCAATAAAAACCTCTTCGTTGGCAATTTGAGCCTCCTAGGAACTCATTTTGAGGTTTTGTTGCATAGTCTGATCTAAGGGTATTTTAGACCTTTCACATCAGTTTTATTTTCTTCTTTCAATATGGTCGATTAGAAAACGTAATTTTAGAAAGAGTTTCTTCTTCGTATTTTTCCAGAAAACATTGTGTTGGTACCGTTGTGAAGTTTTAGCTTCCAGTTTTCATTTTAGCAACTTTTTAGCTCTTTTGACCAGATTTCTTGGGAGGGCATTTTGGCCATTTTACAGTGAGTTTTTTTTTTAAAATTCTCTTTATAGTCACGTAGAAAACTCAATTTTGAGGGGGGGGGGGGTTTCTTCTTTGTGTTTTTGCAAAAAAATTCATCTAGGCCTCCAAATTCAGCCTCTGTTCCTGATTTTTCTGAAAAAAAACCACACAGCAGCTTTATAGGCTGCTGCCAGCCATGTGTGCACCCAGCGTGCGCGTGGTGCGCATGGGCTGTCATGGCCCCTCGTCGGGCCGCCGCGACGTCAATTCTTCTTTTGGGCTTTTCTCCTTTGTTCGGACTCCGATTCAAGTGAATTTTTTTTTGAACTTGACTAATTTTTTGCTGTCTTTCTAACGGTATGCTCGGTTGCACCCGGTTCTTCTTGAATAATTACCAGTTTACCCTTTTTGCCTTAAGTGCTCGTTTTTCTTCGTCATGCCGTTTCTCCTTCGTCCGGACTCTGAATCATGCGATTCTTGAGTCCATCTTGATTAGTTTTTCGTTATCCTTCTAGCGGTGTGCTCGGTGGCACCCGAATCTATAGTTTTTAGAAATGATTATTTTGCCCCTAGGGGCTTATTTGTCATATTTTCGATCTTTTGCTTCCGCATCAATTCTTGTTGAGTTCCACGACCTCATGGAAGGTCACTTTGACTTCTTAGAGTCTTATTTTCTGTTTTCACTTCTGCATTCGGATCCGTTATCGGATCATCCTTTCGGTTCATCACTGACGCACTGGCCTAAAAATCAGGGCCGTCACATAGAAGTTCATGTAATTGAACCCCATATTGGATAAAGGTAGGAATGACAATGATTAAGGTTTAATGATAAATAAATTTCATAACCTGTGTTTTTCTTCTCTCAAATCAGTAATGGGATGTGTATTACCCTCTCATTGGTCTTCCATTCAACGGGACAAAAAAAATAAAAAATAAAAATAAGAGAAGAAGAAGAAGAAGAGACTTTAATCCAAGTCCGAATGCGGAAGCAAAATATGAAAGAAGGCCAACCATTGTGATTAACATGTTTACAGCATCAAAGAACATCCAAAAGCTCCACCAAAGTAACATCAACTATGGATGAGGTGTGTCCTCCAAAAGAGGTTATTTTCCTGAAAAATAAAAGGGGTTAACAAATATGCCCAGTAGAAAAGAATGGTATACAAATAAGCTACATTCTTTGGACCCAACAAACACAAAAGTATGTTAGGCAATGAAAGGGATCATACTTCCTAATGTCTAAGTCTTGGAACATGCTAGGTATCACTCATAGAACTAGCATACACATCATCATGCTTTAACGAGGAAAGAAACCTATCTCATCACAAGTAGACATATACAAGATGATGAAATATAAAATGCCGCAAGTTATAATTATAATCATAATAATCAACTTGACAAATAGAGTTCGAAATCAACAAGTCAAGATACATTGTAACTCAAACACACATCGAGACATGTGCCAAAGCTCTATATTGTACTCATACATATGTGTGGGCAGGTGTTAGGTACTAGCTATGTTACCATACTGACGATTGTGCCGTGAGAAGGTATTAGATATCGACGTTGCTACCATATTGATAAGTATGTCGTGGGTAGGGTACTAGACAATGGTAGTGTTTCCATATTGACGAGTTTGTGAGATACTTATACTCAATGTGGATGACTCTTTGGAGTGTTTTTAAGGTGGTGGATGTTGAATTATGCATTGACACACTTGGGAGAATGATTTATTTTTGTGATGATAATGATTCTCCTATTTTTAGGTTGTCATTGTAGATAGTATGATTTTGATACAATTGCTTGTTGATTGTCATCCTTTGTGGTGAATGTCCTAATTGATGTGCCTTCGAGGTTGATTGGTAAGGTGATTAGCTTGGAGTTGTTTTGTGCTGAAGCTGGATGGTGCACGACTTCATGTTGAAATGAGGATATAATGTTGGGGTTGGATGATTAATCATTCACTTTTTCTTTCTTATGGATTTCATGGTGTAGGATAATGTCATTTTGAGGTTTCATGATATGTCTTTAGAAGGGTGACTAGTGCGGGTGTCCTAGATTGGTTCTCCTCAGGGATGTATCTGAATTTTAGAGATAAAATCCCTTTAAGTTGGGAAGGTGATATAAATCAGGTTTGAATGGATATTTTATCCGTATCAATTCCATTTTTATCAGATTTTAATTTAAAAATGCACCCAATATGTATCTTTATTAAAAGAAAATTATGATTTGTTCACGTTTGGATACAAGTATAAAGTGGGTTCAAATTTACATGCCGATTTGATCCAAATTCATCCATTTATTATATTAGAATTTGTTTAGATATTATATAAATAATATGGATTAAGTATGGTTTGTGCCTGTCAAATTTGACCCACATTCACCATTTCGAATTAGTTCAAAAGGATCTAACCCCAAAATGAGGTTAAGTATTCAAATTTTGTTAGGTATAGTATCGTAAAATTTAGGGAAAATTACATATAAATGGAGTCAAAGTTCCATATTTACTTAGATACTGAGTCAAAGTTCCATATTTCTCTAAAATGGATTGCTGAGGTGGCACATGGTTTTTTACTGTTTAAAAAATTGTGGTGCCTAAAATGCCCTTCCCTAACAAAAAAGTAGTACATTCAGTTCAAAAAAGTAGTACCTTCAGTTCAAAAAAGTAGTACATTCGGAGAAAAAGTAGTACCTTCGCGGTATTTAAAAAACATGGTACCTGGACGCCAAAAAGTAGTACCTTCAGTTCAAAAAAGTAGTACCTTCGAAGAAAAAGTAGTACCTTCGTGGAAGGGTATTTTAGGCACCACAATTTCTAAACAGTAAAAAACCATGTGCCACCTCAGCAATCCATTTTAGAGAAATATGGAACTTTGACTCAGCCTCTAAGTAAATATGGAACTTTAACTCCATTTATATGTAATTTTCTCTAAAATTTAAGTAAAATATTATAATTTTATTTATTTATTAAACTAAACCACAGAAGCATTTATCATTCAGAATCATCTTATAACTTCTCTTGTGAGCAATAAATTTAAAAAAAAACAAAAAAAGTCACCACAAAGGTATGTGGCATGGTAGTATGTTTTTTCAACTTTCAAATGGAGGATTCAATTATCGAGGTCTTATGGCATAATGTGTCTCGTCTACCTCAAGGCTCGTGAGGTACAAAATGTGTACCTTATTGGACAAAATGTGTGTGAGTGGCGTCAATGTTTCTTGCCATTGTAACAAATTCTTATTGGGTCGTGGATATCAAGCGATATAGAGGAGCGTAGCAATACTGCTCCAGTAAAACCTGTCCAATGGTCAGCGATATGGGTCCCGCTACTCGGCTGTTCAACGCGACATCAAGCACGATGGTACGTTGAGTTTAGATAAGAACAAATATGGACCGTACCTAAAAGAAGTGGTACCCTACGATCCAGCCCTCCATAATTTATACTCGTACATAACTTTTTATGGCAACTTACCAAGAAAAGGGCAAAAAAGAAATTTTTATTTATTTATTTTTTTTTTTGTAAATTTCATGTTTTTGAAATTATGAATTAGGAAATATTCATTACTCAAAATCAGAAATTTTTTATGATTTTTTTTTTTTCTTTCATTTCCTTAGTTCTTATTTTTGTTAAGAAGAAAAAATAAAAATAAAAATAAAAAAGCACTTATTTTTGACTGTCATCGTTATCTTCTCGTTCTGGTGATTTAACTGTTGGCCTCCTCGTGTTTCACAACTGCCTTGGTCTTTCAAGAAGGTCCTATCCTATCTCTCTATTTTCACAGTTCGCACCCTCTCTCCATGGTTTGGATGCTGAATCGCTATGCATTCTTAAACTTTTAAGGTCTAATTATATTCTCTCTCTCTCTTCTTTTATATTTTTTTTGCTCATTTCATTTTGGATCTGGGTTTTGAGTGGTGAGTGCAGAATATATCTTTATTTAATGTTTAAGAAATTTATTAGCAGACATGAACCCTATACTTATAATATATATATGTGTGTGTATGTATGTATGTGTTTGTTTTGTAAATCTTTGTTTTATGCAAATCTTTTTGGGTTCCTGTAATGATAATTTCTAGTTCACTTTGTTTTTCAAGTTGCCTTTATTCTAGGTTTTTTTTTTTTGGCTGAAACTTTTAGCAATATTATTGATATCACTGAAATTATTTGTTGGGGATAGGGTTTCAAAGAGAATTTTTTTTCCTAATTGGTTTCAAATAAAGTTCAAAGTTACTTACCCAAAAAAAAAAAAAAGTTAAAAGTTTTTGCTTGTTAGTTGGGTCTTGAGTTTTGTATATGGAAGTGGATTTCTGTTTAGGTTAAGTTCTTCATGTTTAGGTTCAGTGATGAGAAGATCTTGGATTGTTGTCCATAATTTTTCGTTTAATTTGTATTGTGATTGTGCACTTGAAAAATTGCAGCTTTTTGATAATTTCTATTTGATTTCTGTTATGTCAGTTTAGGGTTAGAGTTTTTGCATGTTTAAGTTCTCATGTTCTTTTTATCTTTTTGTTGGCTATCTATTTTTCCTTAATTCGTATTATTATTATTATTATTATTATTATTATTATTTTGAGATTTTATGCTGCAAAATATTGGGATTGTAATCACATGTTTCATCAATTTGATTTCCTTGTGCGGATTGAGGTATTTGTAGTATTTCATGCTTGGAATATTATACATACTTCTTATCTAGTAAGAGATTTTCTGATTTTTGTCGTCTCCGTGTTCCTGATTTAAGATCTCTTTCTAGTTTTCATGGTAGATTAATTTGGAGATTCCGATAATTTCTTTTGGCCTCTTGAACATTAAAGAGTATTGTAACAAACATATCCTTTTAATTATCGCAATTTTTTCATCGATTATAATTCAGAAAACAATGAGTCTGTATGATGATTCAGTCTGGCTATAGTTGGTACTTATATATCTTTAATTTTTTATTGCAGATATTTCCGAAGTTTTGACGGTCCATTGCTTGACAACGAGAGAGAGCACGCTTGTCAGTATTCATACGCATAACATGATTGCGTACATGCGTGCTTTCTATCGTTGTCATGCGATCTGCTTCTCAAGGCAGGTTGATTTTCTCTTTCTGCACTTTTTCTTGGTACATGCGTTAGACAGGTGATTGTGAACTTAACCTAAAGTTTAAAATTTAATGTTAGCTTAATTAGTTGTTATCAGTATTTTGAAATTTGTGGTTCCTTTTTTCAGTAAAGACGGACTTCTTATCACTTGGGTTGTGCTTTTGCAGTTAGTGGATTCCCAAAATAAAAGTTACTAATGGTAACTGACTCGCTTGATCTGCAAGGTTAAGAGTATTTTTCTAATAGAATTCCGACACTTAAAAGTTAATCGGAATGAAATACAGTCACTCTATTATTTTAATAGAAGAACCCATACAATTTCCAGGCTAGTCAAAGTTCAGCCAAGGTGCCTCAACCTACTATATATGGGTCAGGTTCCTTCAATTAGGTTCACATAAAGTTGTCAGGCTATTACCTTTTACTCTTTAAGCAGGATCTTCCAGGCTCAAAAAAATCACACTTCTTAATTAATTTTAGTTGTAGTCATCCATTCAAATAGTTTTCATTTTTCAAAATAACCATTAATTTGCATTTCCAAACTTGGATCATATTGTTTAATCCTTCTCATATATTAGAAAGAATTTATGAGCTACCGTTTGACTAAGATAATTGTGTCTTATGATAATTTGATGTGTTCAAAATCTACAAGATTGTTTTCTTTTTGTGGCATATTTTTAATGGTAGTTTTCTGTAACTGTATATACATATAAAAAAGATTTATGCACATTGATTTACCTTTTAGTTGATGTCCAAACTTTTTGATTTTATAAAAACTTTTGATTAGTTGTGTTTCATAACCTGATTTGATCCAACTCTACATTGATTTAATTGAAAGCATGTGTAAACTGAAAATGTATATCTATTGATATAGCAATCCATTAAATTGATACGGTGAGAACTTCCTTTATTTGATATTAACTAGTTGGTGTTGCATACTTTAAATTGTTTTTCTGTACTTATATCATTTTAGGCTAGTGCCTTTCATTGCTCCTTGCACTTAGGTTTCAAGGGACATTAGCACCTTGGTGTGCCTTCAGCCTTTAATAACTATGGCTACGATACAGAGATATTTGGTCTAATAACTGTGGAAGTGTGTTCTATCCAAGGTGATCCAAAAAGAAATTTAGGTGCTTTATCAAATGTTTGAAAGTAAGCATGAGCTGCAGTAACACGAAATAATGGTTTTTATGTATTGTAATTGTTTCCATGACGTAACTAGTAAGCCTTTTGCCTTATTATTGACGTAACTAGTAAGCCTTTTGCCTTATTATTACAAGTTGATATGATTATATTTTACTGAAATTTATTGCTATAATTGATTTCACAAATTATTACAGAAGGCTTGTCAACATCCTTCGTAGATTACTAACTTAAAGGAGTATGGAGCCCCATTCTTTTGCGTCTGTTGCCTATATTTAGGTTTTTAAGGCTTGGGGACTGAGTTAAAAGCTAGACCACTATCAACATTAAAAAAAATAAAATTCCAAATTCAAAAACATTGGAGGTCCAGTTACCTGAGTCTCTTTATGATGAAGTAGCATCTGACCACCTTCCCACTTCCATTAGTCACAATCCCAAAAAAACACTAGAAGTGAAATGGAAAAAGAGGAGTTTTGAGTTAAGCAACCTCTTTTAATAAAAAATTTCTTGGTTTTGTTGTTCCTTTTAGAAACAAACTAGAACTACAATGCTGGAAAAATGGAAGTAGACTTGGTGGTCATTTGAAGGTTGTTTTCTCTTGGTCTAATGATCAAAGGAGGACAAAGAAATCACTAAAGTTTGTGGCTTCTTAAGGAGCTTTCGTTGTTTTCAGGTATAATATCTAAATACAGTGATATTGTTAATTCAAGATCAGGATAAACAAGTGAAAAGCCTGAAAAAGATCCTATTTCTTAAAAAAAAAAAAAAAAAAAAAAAAAACTACTTCAAATTAGCATGACATTCATTAATATTTAAATCATGCCTATATGTCATATACTGTCAATAACAATACAGTGATATTGTTAATTCAAGATCAGGATAAACAAGTGAAAAATCATGCCTATATGTCAAATACTGTCAATAAAATTCATGACACATATAAGGATTTTTTGTTGTCAAAAAATGCATGTCTGTAAGTTAAAAAATAATAATTTGTTCATAAATAATTCACAGCTAAGGTGTTTGTGTTTCTTCTTTTTATGTTCATGGTTGGGCATTTACAAATGGATTGGCAAGCAGCATCAGGAATAATTTGTTTAGCTGTTTGAGTTGAATTGCATACAAGTGATCATGCTAGTTTCATATTATTGAATTGTTAACTCTCAAGTTAAATTGAACTATCATAGACAAAAGCATTAAAATTTGCTTCCTTCAGAAGGTTGTCAATGGTAAGAATACAATTTAATTACTCCTCAGCATGGCATGTTCTTTAAGGGAATTTGTTTGTTTCGTTTGTTTTTGTTTTGTTTTTTTGTTTTGTTTTGTTTTTTTTTTTTTTTTTTCTGTTTTTGGTTTCCCCTTCTTTTTCAGTTCTTTTGCACTAAATTGGCCCTTGGATTCATTTCATTTGTTTATTTTCCCATTGTATCACTTGTGCTTCTCTTTTTAATTTGCGTGAGATAATCCTGAACAAAGTTTATAGCCACAGTCTATCAACAGTCGAGCTACTTCAAGTTCAAGTTCTATAATATCTCCAGCCGATCCTCTCGAGTTAAATTCATTTGTTATAGACAAAGCATTTAAAAATTGTATTTCCTTCAGACGGTTGTCATTGGTAAGAATACAATTTAATTATTCCTGAGCAAAGCATGTTCTTTAAGGGATTTTTTTCTTTCTTTCTTCTTCAGTGGTTTTGCACAAAATTGGCCCTTGGATTCATTTCATTTGTTTAATTTTCTATTATTTCACTTGTGCTTATATTTTAAATTTGTTTCATATGTCTAAATATGAGATAATCCTGAACAAATATTATAGCCACTGACTATCAACAGTCAGGCTACTTCAAGTTCTATGATACCTCGGGCAGCTCCTCTATGAGGAATTCTGTTTAAGTGAGCTAGGTTAGTAAGGATTTTACTGCTAAGAATTTTACATGATACAGACACAACATACACGAATTTATTTTTATTTATTTTTTAATTTTTAAATAAGACACTGATAACGCAGGGATACATCAAAATAATAAAAAATAATATATTATTTTATAAGTTCAAATTCCAAGATACATCTAATTGTGTCGAATACAACTCCGGCTGTGTCACATGTGTTCGTGTTGAACATGTGTCGGACATGGCCTCAGAATTCCTAGAGGAGTGTCCATACTTTCTGGATACTGCCTGTTTGAAGGTAAGGTAGAAGGGGATGAGAGCAAAAAATTAATGGAATATTAGATATTATACACTTGTCTTTCTATGTCTTGGAAAAAAAAAAGGAATGCATTATTATGCTGTACTTTGTTCATATTTTTGTCATTTGATATCACACATTTATAGATTCTACACTTGTTTATAACTATCAGAATAAAATCTATTACTTACATATCCAGCAAAGAGCTATTTTATATGGTTCCTTTTCATCAATCCATTGTTAATTACTGTAAATATAGGGTAAGTTACGCAAATCTCTCCTTTGCTTTGACTAATTTGCGTGAATGTAGATCATGGGTCACAATTACACTGAACTCTCCTATTAGAGTCTGTTTTGCAGCTGGTGTAAATTGAAAATTTTGCCCACAAGTTATTTTGACATTTTGGATAATAAATCAGAAAAAGACAATATAGAAGGAAAATGACTAGTGCACCTTCAAGCCATTCTATCTCTACTCTCTCTGCTCCATATTTCTCTCTACTCTCTATTAGACCTCCTTAACTGCCCTTCACCACCACCACTGTAACTTATATTTCCATTGCTCTGTCGTCTCCTTCCCAGTTCTCTTTTTTCCTCATGTCCACCTCCACATAATCACGGCACTTTCTGCTCCACCACCGGTCCACCACCACTTTCTTTGCAGCCACCACTTTTCATGGTCAGCATTTTGCTTGTCGCTTCATGTTTCTCTAGCTCTTTACTCTATTCCTTCCTCAAGAACTCTACAAAAAATAGCTCATTTTCACTGTCACCACCTCCATTTATAATGGAATAAACCCACCGGCCGGCCATTCATCATCACAAGTGCAGAGTATGACCATTTTATAAGTTATACTCAGTTTCAGATGATGAGATAAAGAAAACATTGTTAGAATTATGAAATTGTCAGCACTCGCACGTAATAACAAGTTTTTTCAGATTTATAAGTCTTCCAATTTGCCAAATTTCAATTCCCTGATATAATGGTAAAATTCTTGAGCGGCCAAGCCTGAGAACATGGTTAGAATGCTAAGAGCAGTCACTTTATTCAAATAGTGTCAATGGTTAGTTTTATATCCAATCTGTCCCTTGCACACTGGTTAATAATACTTTTTATATTCATTGAAATAGATTGAAAAATTACAAATTTTGTCCTCTTAAGAATCTAATGTATTGATATGTATATTAAGAATCTAATGTATTGAAATGTATATTAAATGCAAATTAGGGGTAATTTAGTCTTTTGAGATTCTTAGGTGATGTGCAAAGATGTTATCTTCAAATAAGTATGGCTTTTCAAGTCTTTCCACTAAAACAAAGGGCCATTTAGACATTTTGTGATATATTCTTAAAAACTCTTAATAATTATTCATAACCAAAGGGAATCTAGAAAATTCCAACAAAATCACAAATGAGGTTGACTGTGAAAAATACTCCAAGGTGCATGTAATTTTTTCAAACCTCGGGAGAGGTTTGTGTAATTTATCCGGTCTTTTATTTGCATTAGGATGAAAATCGTTGTGAATGAAAGTATTTATGTTTATAATTTCTTTTCGATTCAAAATCTAAATATTCTAATTTATCTACTTTGTCAACATATAACATTTGATCACCTTCTATGATATATGGATATGACTTCCCTTCTTTTGATGTTATTTTTTTAATGTTGTATCCAGGGTGGTGGAGGGATTGTCTGGTCCGAAGTATGTGCCGTCTTCTTTCCCAACTGTGATTTATCGTCAAGAGAAATGCAATAGTCTCTGACTCGTCCTTGCATAAATCTGTAAGTCTCTGTATGTCTTGAACCATCTTATGTATCTTTATTGTTCTTTCTCATATTTGAAGGATGCCTGTGTTTCCTCACGCGTTTTTCAATTTTTAATTAGGGTGACGATAAGGTTTGAACTCGAGACTTTTGGCTCTGATACCATGTTAACTACCCATCTACTCTAAAAGCTTAAGCTGATAGAGAGGGTGTAACTTTAATATTTATACCTTCAACATATATTATAACTTAAAATATTCAAGTTCTAGGTCTTTTGGCAAAACAAGGATCTAGATCTCACTAGAATGGGTTCTTTTTTGAAGTTATAAAATATTCAAGTTCTCGGTTTTTTTTTGGTAAAAAAAGGATCTAAATCTCACTGGAATGGGTTCTTTTCTGGGTAAAACGACTCGTCTTTTGAAGGGACTTCAAATTATGGGCAGCCAAAATAATGATAATTCTTTTGATATGTCATTTAAGTTTTTTGCTTGGTAGTGGAAATAAGTATTAACTGTTGATTTTTCATGTTTAATAGAATGTCAAATACCATGTGGTCCACGTATGCACTGCATATTCACCGCTGCATTTTCCAAACACAATGCTTACATGTGTCCACCAATACAAAATTCTGAGAACTAGAACTAGTGTCATACTTGATATACCTAGGAAGTAATTTTTTTTGGGGGTAAATAAGCAATTTTATTAATGTTGGGCAGCTAGGAAACAATGTATGCAAAAAGTTACAATGTCAGAAATGCGAATGTTGAAATAGATATGCGGTAAGACTAGAAAAAATAGAATTATAAAATCACATTTTGGGAGATGGTTGGAGTAGCACAGATTGGAGATAAAATGAGAGAAAATCGGTTAAGATGGAGTTAAGAAAAGTATGTAGTTCACATTGTGGAAAATACTAGGAAAATACTTTTTGAATTTTTAACTAATAACTACTTTTTGAATTTTTAACTAACCAACCGAAGATTCAAATTTAAATTAAAGTTAATAATTAAATACCAATCAATCCATTATGTGAATCATAAGAACCATTCAATCAAAACTAAATTAAACCAAAGTTATCTGAACTGTGAACAATGGAGAAAAAGATTTTAAAGTGGAAACCCTGAACGAGAAAAACCGTGAGACTTGGTCTAGTTAGATTAAAAATTCACTATAAAAAAAGAGAGATTACACTAGGTCAAAGTTTACGTGTCCCAAAACTCCTAGTTATCTCGACATAAACTTCCCACCGAGGTTGAACAGATTGATTCTATCCACACAGCATGTTCAGGGTGCGATTCTGCCAGACATCTTCTGGCCTGAAAGTTAGTGCTAGGTGGTAGGTTGTTGGAAGCCTGTCCTAAGGGGTCCGATCCACCAAACTCCCAATTACAGTCTCTAGGCACAGTATCCATTCTGTCAACAGACACTACTCCTGATGAATTTGCTTCCTCAATAGTATTTCTGATCTCTAGACTAGTCATCCATTCCAATCTCGGTTGATCAATTGCATATTTGTGTTGAACTCCTCAAATCAGCTCCACAGCAATTATGATGTCAACACACTAATATAACACTTACTAATCTAATTCAATTGATGAATGATAAAAGAAAAATATATGAATACACTCAAAATGTGCTGCCAAATTCTCTAATGTATGCATCTTAATGTATGTTCTATATATCTTAGGATTTGTACTATGATAAAGAGTATTTATTGAGGAGACTAATGTAAAGATATAGAGAGAAGAAGAGAGATCTCCATATGGGTTTTATCGATTTGGTGATAGCCTATGATAGGGTACCTAGAGATCTAATACGGAGGGCTTTAGAAGAGAAATGAGTTACAAAGGGATACATCCCAAATAGGGGTTCTATTAAAGCGGTATTCTCCCAACCAAAGCAAATGAACAAAAAAATGACGCTTGTGGAACTCTCACGTCGACTTACTAATGATATCACCCCATACCTTTTCTGCCTAGGTTATGGATGAGCTAACAAGACACATCCAAGATGATATTCCATGGGGTATGTTATTTGTCGATGATATTGTTTTAGTCAATGAGACTAGAGGAGTTCATTCCAACTTGGAGGTTTTGAGAGAAGCTTTAGAACTAAAAGGGTTTAAAATAAGTAGAAATAAAACTGAAAATATAAAGTGTAACTTTAGTAAATCTAGAAATACAAATGAGGATGTAGTGGGGATTTAGAATCTAGAGGTACAAAAAAGTGAACATTTTCGCTATTTAGGCTCAATTTTTCATAATGAATGAGAAATTGGAGAGGATGTTAGGCAGTATAGGTTAAATGGAGGAGTGCATCTTGTATATAGTGTGATAGGTGTATCCCCTTGCGATTGATAGGAAAGTTCCATCGAACAGCTATTAGATCAGCCATAGTTTATGGCACAGAATGTTGAGCACCTAGGAAACAACATATGCATAAAGTGAGTGTGGTGAAAACGTGAATGTTGAGTTGGATTTGCGGTAAGACTAGAAAGGATACACTCGGGAGATGATTAGAGTAGCACAAATCGAGATAAGATGAGAGAAAATTGGTTAAGATGGTTTGGTGATGTGCAAAGACCACCTTTTAAATGCACCAATTTGGAAGATTGACATAGGTCAGATTGAGTGTAATTCTAAGGAGAGAGGAAGACCAAAGTTAATGTGGGTAGAGTTAGTTACGAAAGATATGATAGCATGTGGTTTGAGTGAGAATCTGACCATAAATAAAGCGGAATGAAAACAAAGGATTCATGATCCTACCTAAGTAGTAGTGAAAAAGGCTTCTTCATCTTGTTGTAAAATCCCAAAAACACTTTTGACGCCTGTCACTTAGGATTTTCCAAATGAAGACATGAATTCTCAAAACCCTAATTCATGGCTAGTAGCCTAGTGCATAGTAGTGTCAATTTACCTTTATACCTTTAAGTTAAAAATTACTCTTTTGCCTTGGTTAAAGCTTGAATTCCATCTTTGACCATGACCAAGAGGTAACTAACTTTAAAATTCTAACTAAACTAACAATCAAAACAAATTTACAAACTCTAGTTTGATCCACGAAATACGCCAACTTAAGTCCTGTGGTCAACACTCAGCTATCTAAAGATAGATTTGAACAATTTCAAAAAAGTTTTGATATACCTGTTACTTTAAGACTCTTTATACCAACTGACTCCAATAGTTTACGCCTACCAAAAATGCTCTGCACAATTGTTGCTACATCTTTTTATTGATTTAGAAAATTTCCAAAAGTTTTGATATACCTGTTACTTCAAGACTCTTTATACCTACTGACCCCAATAATTTACGCCTTACATCTATCAAAAATACTCTGCACAATTGTTGCTATATCTCCATATTGATTAAGCTGCAGCCTGTTGTTTCTTTCTCTCCAAATGGATAGATAGAGGTGGTAAATAGAAGCTCGGATACCGTAACTATTGCTATGTAAATTAGTAGCAATCCATTGAAGCAGACTAAGAAGCACGAACACTTCTTTGAAGAAGTTGTGTCGTTAGACACCGACCCTTCATGGACCCTCCTGGACATGTTTCTGGCATTTCATAGCCGTGTCCATAATTTAAAACTAATTTTTATTATTTCGGACACTTGGTTGACACATCTCGGACAAAGTGGTCAACATATTTTGAACACTCGACCAACACATTCCACTCTCTTCGTAATATATAAAACAAAAACATGACAATCCTAGAAACAACATTATGAACACACATCAAAGTGTTTAATCTCTTTCTGTAAAAAATTGACATTGGCAGCATGTCAGGTTATGTAATGAAAAAAAATATAACTATAATGACAAAATAAGAGAGTAATATCATATAATATATATTTTATATTTGAAAAGCTTAATCTTCTAACTTAATTAACTTTAGTGAAACACTACAATTGTCTTACTCAATAGATATATAAATGAAAATTAATATGTATATTAGTCATGTCCACACTGTGTTTGGATCCTATTTTTTTATAATTTGACGTGTTAGCATATCCATGTTTATCTTGTCAATGTTCTGTGTCGGTCTCCAAACTCCCTACTTCTTAGGAAGCAGATTGGCAAAAGGAGCATTCAGATGCCACCAGATCAAAGATTTTGTGGGATAGCTCCACGAATTTTGAAGCATAAGTGACACTCCTGACTCCACTGATTCTGTGTGAGTTTAGCAGAAAAACATGTATTTGTCAATGTTCCGTGTCGGTCTCCAATCTCCATACTTCTTGGGAAACATATCGGCAAAAGGAGCATTCAGATGCCACTAGATCAAAGATTTTATGTAGGATAGCTCCACGAATTTTGAAGCAGAAGTGACACTCCTGACTCCACTGATTCTATGTGAGTTCTGCAGAAAAACATGGTACTTGCTTAAATCAAAATTCCTTTTTTTGAAGTTTGAATACTCTTGAATTATTAGCCTGAATATTTCTTAGAAGCAAAATTTTCCTCCAAGACCAAGTAGCAGAGGAAGGAATCTTAACTATAACCAAAAGTTATGTTCTTTTAACAAGAAAATTTTCAACCAAAGTAATCCATAAAGAATTGTCCGTCCTGTGGTTAAGAAGCTTTTGAATGTGTTTTGCAAAAGCTGCTTTGTTCCAGGAGATTAAAACCTTAACTCTAAGACCCCCTTCATTTTTGGGAAGACACTACCAAGAATCCTTTTGGGAACCTTTTTGCATTGAGGGACCCTTCAATAAAAAACTCTTAAGATAACTTCCAGACTTTTGTTCAACAACTCATGAGGTTCAAACACATTAATGCAACGTGTGGTGGTCTTTGGTGTGTAGCATTATTTAAAAAGCAATGTACATTACACATCTTGCGTGGATTGAAAATAATCTTCCTCGCTCTCTCTTTACTATGTAGATGTATATATTCAATAAATTAATTCCATTTAGGTAAAGCAAGGGCTTGAGAAATCCATCGCCAATAAATAAATAAATAATTATAAACACTAGCATCAGTGTCAAGACATGAAGCACAAAGAAGATACTTGATCTATTTGTGATATGAAATGTCTCAGTTGAGTCCTGACAAAGTGTGTTGTGTGTGTAGAAACGATCACCTCGAGACCAAGTTTCTGAATGATTTAGGATGAATGAGATTGTCCCATTTGAGCTACTAGTTTTGCTTGATATGCTTCCTGAGGTCAAAATTTACATTCAATTGGGAACTCATGTTAAATGGATTGGACAATTCCCGCCATTAACTTCTTTACCAATTTGATGTTGAAATCCCCTCCCCATGTTTGGCATACTTATTTTTTATTTATTTATAATTGTTTGTTCAACATTGGATCTTTTAATTAATTATTTCAAGTTGTTTAACTGTATTATAATATTTGGTGGACGCTTTGCAGGCTTCCAGCTTTAATTTCCATTTTAGATTTTTCAACTACTAGACCATTTTTCTATTTTCTTTATATACATTTTATGGATTCTATTGCCCTTAAAACCATTGATTGTTGTAAAATTCATGTTAAAGTATTGCCCTCCCTCAAGAGTGCGGCCAGCTAGGTCTCTTGGATTAGCGACCTGCTGTTACCCATGCTCTCCCATGTGTGGAATTGTTTAGTGTGTTGCGTCCAGTTAATCTATTCTAAAAGTTGTCATTTCGTTCTCATGCATGTGCTATTTCAAGTTTAGATCAGTTAAGAGTGGCTCCACATAAAGCTCTTATAGATTTTCTTAGTAATGCAATTTTTCTAGATTTCTTCACCTAATACTGACTGAATCACATTTACTCGTACCAGTATAAATTTTAAATGAAGTTCTTTGTAGTTTAGGAGTCGTATACATTATATCCTTATAATTGAAGGATTTCAATTTCAACTTTCAGGTAACTCCATTTTGTTATTTGTTAGTAATTGGCGAAATGCCGGAGGAGTTTAACCAGAAATTTGTTAGTAGACTTGGCCTTGCAGGTTCTATATATTATCTGTGAAGAGAGAGGAATGCCAAAATCTTCGGACCTTTGCTTCTCTTTCAGCTTTGATTAGAACACCATCAGATGTCAGCCTTCTCTCCCTCCAACAGTACATCATCTCGGATAATTTATAGTTTTGGGAACTCTTTGGGATCTCTCAAACATTCCCACCCCCATTGAAAATTCTAGGAGTCCATGTTGGATCTCTGCTTCGAGCTACCACACATCTGAAACCATTGAGTACCAACTGCTAGCTTTTTAAATTTGTTGTGCATAGCTTTAGCTGTGGTTATTTTGGTTGTGCATTCTTGGGCTAGGCTCAAATGACCCTTCCTTTTTTTCTTGGGTAGTGAAGAAAAAAAAAAAGAAGTTTGACTTTCTGATTTGAATGGAGTACTTAATTTCACCATGTTGGGATCCTTTCACTGGGTGACATGCATGTAATGCAGACGCATTTTTATTAGTGTTTGATGTGATGTTCGATCTTTAGTTCTATGTTCTTGAAGTATTTATGATCAGTAGATGGCAGTACAAATGAAAATCTGGGGTTAATCATCTATGGACTGGATTTTTGGCGATCACTTAGGTCATAGAAAAAGAGTAATGGCTGTACTATAGCGGCCTCAAATGGAATGAACGGTGTATTGAGCTCAAGCTTACATTGAATATTGATCTTTTTTTGATTGTTCATTCAGGTATTCAACAATGTCTCGTCAGGTTGTGTACTTTTCTTTTTACTTAAAAAAATTAAATAAAAAATACTGGTAGCAATCATTTACCTTTCTGGTAGATATAAGGTGGTCGCGGTGCTGGAGAGCGCACATCATCAAATTGGAGAATTGACAAAGTTGTAAATATGTTGTATTCTTAATTTAATAGTGTTACAGTTATATCTTGATGTAATATGTTATAAGTGTTGCATATTTGAAGAAAATGCGTTGCGCGAGTGCTTATATGCTAGTGTTTATATTCTCCATTATATTTGAACTGTGTTGCATACTTTATTTAAATTGCACTTGATGGTCCAATAGACCGGCAAGAGGATCTTGATTCCCTTCCAACCATCACAGTTCGGCACTCAGAATTCTGGTTTTGTTATGGATAATGATAGGTTTGATTAAAGTGGTCTTTGCCTGTTACAAAAATACCTGAGGGAAATTTGGTTGCATGGTGTAAACTGAATATTATCGTTGCATTAGAACGTAGATCTTTGAGATTTGGTTTTTTTATTTATTTTTATTTTTTATACTAAATTAAAAAGCATTTGATTTGTATATTTGATCATACAATTATTGCCGCTTGAACTTCTGCAACATTAGAATAAAAAATTGTGAAGTCCATTGTATATCATATGGCTTTTTCTTGGATTGAATCCAAGTGTTTTTGACGTGTGATGAAAAGAATTTCAAGTAGCTGTCAATTGAATAATAACATATGTCACCAGTAGTTGTGTTAATGCCATTATTCTTTTTCCTCTATGAATTCTATTAAAAGACGTGAAGAGAAGGTGCATTGTTAGAATGAGGGCGTCCACATGGTATAAAGGTATAACTCCATTTTTGGTTTAAAAAAAATAAAATAAAAAATCAATATTCCAGCGAGCTTTCTGACAATTTACTTCATTTGGTTTTTGTTTCTCCATGGACTGACCAAGAATCAATGCTTCCATGATTGATTCAACTTTAGAACATCAACCAGCCATTGTCAGACATTTTGTGCAAAGCTATAAAAATTATGTTAGGAAATTAGAAAGTCATGTAATACAATAGAAAATTGGTACTTCATTTACTTTACAGATATTGGTAACTCATTTGGATGCCTCGGTACATTTTTATAGTTTTGCGGAATCCAATAAATCATTAGCATTATGTCGGGACAGAAAATTGGTACTTCATTTGTCTGTACTTCATTTACTCTACAGATAATATTGGTAACTCATTTGGATGCCTCGGGACATTTTTATAGTTTTGTGGAATCGACTCATTTGGAGGACATTTTTATAGTTTTGTGGAATCGAATAAATCATAAGCATTATGTCGGGACATTTTTATAGTTTTGTTGAATCCAATAAATCATTAGCATGGGACATTTTTATAGTTTTGTGGAATCCAATAAATCATTAGCATTATGTCGGGACATTTTTATAGTTTTGTGGAATCCAATAAATCATTAGCATTATGTCGTGATGCACAAGTGCTTATTTGCATGGTAAACTTTCGAGGGAGTTTTTAGAGCTCCACAATTGTGTAGACGTTTATAGAGAGAAATGAAGGACTTGCAAAGATTGTAAATATCCGAAATATTTTGGTGAGTACTCTATAGAGTTGATTTTTGCCGTCCATTATGACACATCATTAACCCTCATCAAGGGTGGATGTCTATAAAATTGATGGGAGGGCCTCATTTGCTTCGTTAAGCCACAACGGTGTGTAAAGCAACAACTGAGATCTGGCCTGAATATGTCACGGTGTGAGACTGCCATTGTTTACATAGTAATACAAGTTTCTTTCTCTAGTTAATCCAAAAGTCTAGCCATTGTTTACATAGTAATACAAGTTTCTTTCTCTAGTTAATCCAAAAGTCTAAAGTTTGTGCTATTTGTACCGTATGGAACCTATATATTTAATTAATCGACAAAAAAATCTATACAACTAGGGTGTGACACACCAAAGTGATACAGATATATCTATTAAAGGGAAATAATCTCCATTCTTTTTAGGAAGCAGATCGGCAAAAGGTGCATTCATGTGCTAGTAGATCAAAGATTTTATGTGGGATAGCTCCAAGAATTCTGAAGTAGAAGTGACACTCCACTGATTCTACGTGAGTTCTGCAGAAAAACATCTACCAGTTTAAATCAAAGTTCCTTGTTTTGAAGTTTGAATACTCTTCAATTATTAACCTGAATATCTCTTAGAAGGAAAATTTTCCTCCAAGGAAGGAATCTTAACTAACCAAAAGTTATATTCTTTTAACAAGAAAATTTTCAACCAAGCAAAAAAAATTATGCAAGTAGTGTGTGGCACACCAAAATGATATAGATATATCAATTAAAGTGAAATAATCTCCATGCTTCTTAGGAAACAGATCGGCAAAAGGTGCATTTAGATGCTACCAGATTAAAGATTTTATGTGGGATAGCTTCACGAATATTTTTGAAGCAATAGTGACACTCCACTGATTTTATACGAGTTCCGCAGAAAAACATCTATCTCCTTAAATCAAAATTCCTTATTTTGGCCTGAATATTTCTCAAAGTAAAGGAATGAATCTTAACTAACCAAAAGTTATATTCTTTTAACAAGAAAATTTTCAATCAAGCAAAAAAATCTATGTAAGTAATGTGTGGCACACCAAAGTGATATACATATATATGAAATAATTTCCATCCTTCTTAAGAAGTAGATCGGCAAAAGGTGCATTCAAATGTAACCAGATCAAAGATTTTATGTGGGATAGCTTCACGAATTCTGAAGCAGGAGTGACACTCCACTGATTCTGTGTGAGTTCAGCAGAAAAACATCTACCTGCTTAAATCAAAATCCTCTATTTTAAAGTTTGAATACTTTGGAATTTTTAGTCTGAATATTTCTTAGAATCAAAATTTTCCTCTGCGACCAAGAAACAGAGGAAGAAATCTTAACTAACCAAAAGTAATATTCTTTTAACAAGAAAAATTTCAACCGGGTAATCCATAAATAATTGTCCATTCTGTGGTTAAGAAGCTTTTGAATGTGTTTTGCAAAAGCTGCTTTGTTCCAGGAGATTAAAACCTAAACCCCAAGACCCTCTTCATTTTTGGGAAGACACTGCCAAGAATCCTTGTGGGAACCTTTTTGCATTGAGGGATCCTTCAAGAAAAATCTCTTTAAGGGACTATAACTTCCAGACTTCTGGTCAGCAACTGATGAGGTTCAAACACATTAATACTACGAGTGGTGGTCTTTGGTGTGTAGCATTATTTAAAAAGCTCTTGCGTGGATTGAAAATAATCTTCCTCTCTCTCTCTACTATATAGATGTATATAATCAATAAATTAATTCCATTTAGGTAAAGCAAGGGCTTGAGAAATCCATCGCCAATAAATAAATAAATAATTATAAACACTAGCATCAGTGTCGAGACATGAGGCACAAAGAAGATATTTGATCTATTTGTGATATGAAATGTGTCAGTTGAGTCCTGAAAATGTGTGTGTAGAAACGATTACTTGAGACCAAGTTTCTGAATGATTTAGGATGAATGAGATTGTCCCATTTGAGCTACTAGTTTTGATTTATATGCTTCCTGAGGTCAAAATTTACATTCAACTCGGAAATCATGTTAAATGGATTGGACAATTTCCTTCATTAACTTCTTTACCAATTTGATGCTGAAATTAACTTCATTAATTTCCTTCATTAACTTCATTAATTTCCTTCATTAACTTCAGTTTGACATACTTATTTTTTATTTATTTATAATTGTTTATTCAACATTGGATCCTTTACTTAATTATATAAATTTGTTCAACTGTATTATAAATATTTGGTGGACGCTTTGCAGGCTTCCCAGCTTTAATTTCCATTTTAGATTTTTCAACTACTAGACCATTTTTCTATTTTCTTTATATACATTGTATGGATTCTATTGCCCTTAAAACCGGTTTATCTTTCGACATTGATTGTTGTAAAATTCATGTTAAAGTACCGCCCTCCCTCAAGAGTGCGGCCAGCTAGGTCTCTTGGATTAGCGACCTGATGTAACCCATGCTCTCCCATGTGTGGAATTGTTTGGTGTGTTGCGTCCAGTTAATCTATTCTAAAAGTTGTCACTTCATTCTCATGCATGTGCTATTTCAAGTTTGGATCAGTTAAGAGTGGCTCCACATAAAGGCCCTTATAGATTTTCTTAGTAATGCAATTTTGCTAGATTTCTTCACCTAATAGTGACTGAATCACATTTGCTCGTACCAGTATAAATTTTAAATGAAATTCTTTGTAGTTTAGGAGTCGTATACATTATATCCTTATAATTGAAGGATTTCAATTTCGACTTTCACGTATCCATTTTGTTATTTGTTAGTAATTGGCGAAATGGCAGAGGAGTGTAACAAGAAATTTGTTAGTAGACTTGGCCTTGCAGGTTCTGTATATTATCTGTGAAGAGACAGGCATGCCAAAATCTTCCGACCTTTGCTTCTCTTACAGCTTTGTTCAGAAACACCAACAGATGTCAGCCTTCTCTCCCTCCAACAGTACATCATCTCGGGTAATTTATAGTTTTAGGAACTCTTTGGGATCTCTTAAACATTCCCACCCCCATTGAAAATTCTAAGAGTCCATGTTGGATCTCTGCTTCGAGCTACCACACATCTGAAACCATTGAGTACCAACTGCTAGCTTTTTAAATTGTTGTGCATAGCTTTAG